ACACTCACCACACTCGACCTTTATTACAATCAAATCGGTGCTAAAGGAGCACAAGATCTTGCAAATGCTTTACAAGTGAACAAAGTAATAACAATACTTCTTCTTCCTCTTCATTACACTTCATCAATCACACACGTTTCATACAGACACTAACCACACTCGAACTAGGACACAATAAGATCGATGTTGAAGGAGCACAATATCTTGCCGACGCTCTGAAAATCAACGAAGTAGCAACAATACTTGTTCTTCGTCCTTTTCACCTCAATTGATAATTGACAAACTTTTTGCAGACACTCATCACACTTGACCTTAAACGGAATCAAATAGGCGATGAAGGAGCACAAGATCTTGCCAATGCTCTACAAATCAACAAAGTAATAACAATAGCTGTTCCTCTTTCACTTCACTTCACTTCACTTCATCATTCACGTACCTTTCACATAGACACTCACTGAACTCAACCTCAGTTCGAATGAAATCGGTGACCAAGGAACACAAGATCTTGCTAATGCTCTAAAAATCAACGAAGTAACAATAATACTTATTGTTTTTCTTTCTCTTCACTTCATTTCATCATTCACACACTTTTCATACAGACACTTACGGTACTCGATCTCGTACTGAATGTAATCGGTGCTACAGGAGGACAAGCTCTTGTCAATGCTCTACAAATCAACAAAGTAAAAACAACACTTTGTTCTTTTTCTTCTCTTCACTTTATCATTCATACACTTTCACTCAGACACTAACTACGGTCGAGCTGCAGAAGAATCCATTGGGGGGGATTGGTATAAAAAAACAATTTGATAAATTATGTGATAAAAATACAACTTTGAGAATACACTACTGGGAATAATTTGTACTAAATACGGCAACAATGAAATAGACTGCTTTTAGTTTTTAATGTTTATGAGATTTGATATTGACTGAAGAAATATATCTGATATTCTGGAACAAGAAAAGGTTGTGTTGTGTCTTCGTAGCTAGTAATGAATACAGGAATTTGACGAATGTTAAATGTTTGAAAAATAAAGGGTTATCAAGGGTGTGGTTTTTGTTGTTATGTTTCTGTATTTAGTGTTTGATTGTAGTCTAATGGTGGATTCTTAAGGAAAATAAATACTAGAAAAAAGGAATTTATGAAATAGTTCACATGTTTGTATCGTAAGATTTGAGCAGAAGAGGTACTTCGGCATTGGCAGACTATGAGTGATCATATGTACATGAAGAAATATTAAGGGAGAAACCACGTACTCCGTTGTACTCTCATCTACTCCCACGTACTCCCGGAGTACAGACTCCGATTGTACTCACTGGGCTCCAGGAGTAGATGGGAGTATAGCGAAGTACGGGAGTACGTGGTTTCTCCCTTGATGAGACAGATTGTAAGCGTGAATAGAAATTTAGTGTGTTGTCCTGTGCGTGTGAGTAGATGTATGGGTAAGGATGAATAAAATATTCACAGTCATATCTAGTTATAATCGTTAGTTTGTACTACAGAAAAATGTCACGTAGATGCCTGTTATTTGCTAGAAATACGCGATAGTAACAGGTACTTGTCTGTGACAGTTGTTTCAGAAACGTTTGATTCTGATACTTACATCTTCAATCATGCACTTGTATTGGCAATGACATCAACATTCTAAAATATCTAGGTTATATATGTCTCCAGAGACAAGTATCTCAGAAGCAACAGCTGTGTTATTATTTTTTAGAGTAGATCAAATTAAATAACAATAAAAAGTTCACCTTTCAATCGTGATGGTGCGCGTGAGTCTGAATGTGACATAAATATAATGTTTAGAGTCTCTCATTCATACCCACATCCACACCCTTAGCAATCCAGGAAAAGATACCATACTCATCAAGTTAGAATTAGCTTTTAATCTTGGCGACAGTTCTTTAGATTTCTCCGTGCCGAGCTTTACTCTTGAGTGTCAATTTCTATGACCTATTTTAATATATTCTCAATTCGATTCTAAATAATTGTAATGATCAAGTAAAAATAACATTGTCTTTCATTATTTTTATCTTATTCAATTTTCAAAATATAGTTTTAACAATTATTCAGCTTGTTTAAAAAATGAAAAAGATCTTGATAAAATTCAACGTTTATACCGTTTCTCATTATATGACTTACATTCAATCTCAAGTAAAATAGAATAATTTTGTTTTATTCATTATTTAGTGGAAAAGACTTTCTGAAATGCATAATCAATATTAATAATCTATTTTGACTGAAAGAAAAAGTGCATTTATTTTATTTCAAAAGAAAACCACACCTATATATAATGTAAAAAAAGCAAAGTGAATAAGTATTGAAGTTATTAGGTTGAAATTTTTGTTTGTCAAGGTTCAAGAGCATTCAAAGAAAAAGGTTGAAGAACGATTTGTCATGTCTGTCTATCTCTCTCTCTCGTCCTTTCGTATTTGTTTTCCTCTTTTAATCAAGGCCAAGATTTAATGGATGTTTAGGTGTTTCATTAAGAAAGAATTTTTTCATAAATTCGGAAAAAAGATTATCTAAAATAAAATATTAGAAATAAATATCATAATAACGACATTAAATATATTTCTACATACAATCCATGCGTTTTTTTCCATGTTCAGTAATATAATCATAAGCTTTTTCAGCACTTGATTCGTCAATATCCCATGAAATAAGCATATTTGCAAATTCATCTTTTAATACTGCTCGTTCATCTAACAAGAAGAAAAAAACATAATGAAAAAAAAATGATTTTGAAAAAAACAATTTTATTACCTAAAAATTCATTAGCACGAAAGAGAGCTTTATGTAAACCTTCATACCATTCAGGAAATTCATTTTTATCCTTTAAACCACCAATAATATCATTCATGACATCAAGCCATTCGTCTTTTTATTTTAAAATAATAGATTTAGAATAAAAGTAAAACTATTTAAAAATACCTAAATCAATATTTCCATCTTTATTTGCATCACCAACAGCACATAAATCCCAAAAATATTTTTGAAAATGTTGTTCAAGACGTTTACGTAAAACTTTTAATCGAGCATTTTTTGCGGCTTCATCTTTTGATACAATAGACTAGATCAGAGGGGAAAAAAGTAAGAATTATTATTTTATTAATCTTTTCTCATAAATCACCTCAATAGCAGCCTCAAAGTCTGTCCAATTAACAAGACCATCATTATTTGTATCTATAAATAGACAAGAAAAAAAGATAAGTGATTATTAATATGCAATTTGTTTTTACCGAGTGTTTTAGTAAAAAATTGTTGAAGTTTTTTTGTTGCTGATGGTGGTATATTGTCACGTGGCATCGCAATAATTTTAAGATAATAGAGCGGAATGAAAACAATCTGAAAATAATTGATATATCTGAGTATATTCTTTTCTAATAAGATGAATTGATGTGCAGTTCTTCTTTTGTATACATTTGCACAATATCTAAGACATTCTCGAACAGTCATTAAGACGTCATTCATTTTATTCTCGCCTCTTTAAAATAACAAAAAATATTGTCAATATATAAAGTTCTTTATCATTCTACTGGCTGTCATTCAATCAAATCTTACTTGAATATTATTTATATATTTTCGAATTTTTGTTACTATTAAAAAATCACTCAACACTTCGATCGATTCATCATCGAACGCGTTATATACAATACATACTAACGATCTTTTTTTCCCACCCTTGTTTTATGTTCCATTGAGATATACATCATATACATAGACGTATTTTCTTTGGATAGAAAAGAAGAGAAGAAAGTGCAATGCTCTCTGTTTTTGGTACCAGATGTATATATTCTTATATATATATATATTACGATATACCGGCACACAAATAAATACCATTTCCGATGTTGAGATGAGGCCGAACGAACAAGCGAGAATACAAGGCTTATTCTATCATCAATATACTATACAGTTCCTGTTGGATATTATTTTTCTTCCCTCTCTCTCCATCTAAAAATGATAGGATAGACTATAGATGAGCAGAATCGGGAATTATCATTCTAGGCAGAATAACTTGTTTCTTTCTCTTCGCTTCTGAATCCCTTTTGTGTATATATATATAGATGCTTCTTCAGTAGGAAAAAAAACATTGATATTGCGTTTGTAGAACACAAAAGGTTATAAGGCAATCATGATAGTAATCAGTATTGAGTGATGAAAAAAGAGAAATTTATATATACTACAAAAAGTATTTCTTCGAAAAAAAAGAATATAAAATGATTTTTTGAACTTCAATTTCAGTCGAATCATAATTTGAATTGATTCGTTGTTATTTTAATAATTTATTTCTCTGTCATGATTGAAATGTGTCAGTTTTCTTATTAATAAAATGAATCATTAAGTTATATTAACAGACGTTTTTTTTTTATGTAATAAGACAAGTCTCTATACATGCTGCTATCAACTATCATAGTAATATTATCGCAGAATAAACTCGAGGACGTAGCACATATTTCCATAACGTTTATATTAATGAAAAATCATATCATAATGAGCTAAAAATAGATTTGAGTATTAAAATAAATTGAGATGAAGATAAAATACAATCGTTATTATAACACGCATCTTTTCCTTGATAAAAATGAAGTTAACACGAATATTGTCTGTTTGATAAATTACATACATAAAAAAACGTCATGAATAATTTATATTAATTGAATAGATTATCTGAAGTTGGTATATGATGTATGAGAGAGTTTATATTAATGTATCAAATAAGTGTCTATATATGATATGCATGAATGACTTAACTTTTATCGAACATAATAATCTTCTATGTCTGTCTATATGCATACAGTACGGAACAAAATCTTTAGTCTATAAATAAGTCAATTTCCGGAAAGAGTTTTTAAGAACACTATGACGAAACTGATTTGGCTATTCTAAATAATTTGATACACAGAAAAAGAAATGTAGCTATGATAATTTTCTATCTATGGTGATAATAAGTTATCATTATGTAAATTATTATTTATTAATAAAAAAATTAAGATTAAAGATGATGAAAAGCTTCTGAAAATTGTTGGATATAAGTACGATAATCACTTTCCATTTCACGAACATAATTATTATAAAATTCTTCATCATTTTCATCAGCAATTGAACGTAAAACTTTCCGTTGACATAAATTAAATTGAATTGTATTCTTCGTTTCACAATAATATGCTTCACGTTCATAAGTTGAACATACTTTTGCCATTTGTGATCGCCATTTTTGAAATCGTTCTTCTCGTTTTGGATTATCAGCAATAATTTTAGAAAATTTAATATATTCGGAACTTTTTTCTATATCATGTAATTCTTCAATTAAACGAAGACATTTTTTGGAATGTGAATCATATACTGTTGAAGTTGGATGACCAATACATATTTCTTCAAATTTATATTCATGAATAAGATCAAAAAAACGATCACGTTCTCCACGACAACATTCCAACATAATCTCACATTTTATTGTCATTTGTCCACGAACTATTGAATATGGTAGTAGATCTGTATATTCTTTGTATAATCTTGTCCAAAGACCTGCATCTTTTTCAATTCTTGTTGTATGAATTCTTCCTTGAATAGTTATAATTACAATTGTAAAAAGCAAAATAAATTTAAGTAACATTTTTAATATGTATTAACTATAAGAATAGATTAATTTTGATTGTTGTAAGAAAATAATGTATGAAGAAAATTTAAATAGTAAGTAAAATATATAGATAGACGAAACAGAATGATGATTATTCATCGAGGGAACAAGAATGGAATTTAAATAATGGTTATAGTGCATTGTAGAAATCATATGATATCAGTCAACTATATAGACGAGAAGAACAAGAAATTTTATTGGTTTAATGTAAATAATAGTACACATATGTATATATATTTCGTTAGTATTTATCTGTTAGATACAGCAATAATATCTGCTTAATTGAAGATATAATATAACTTTCATGGATAAATTTACTCTTGAGTATAATAATCTGATTTTCCTATTGAATATTACAATATTTTAAATATAATGAATTAAAAAAAACAAAAACAAAACAATATTTATATACTATATTTTGTTTAGAATAAAATATTACATGGAGTATGCGGTTTTTTTTTTCTTATTATTATCATTCTTTTATACGTCATTGACATTCGCAAGGACACTCATTTTATTTGTTCGCTTGATTCTTTTGACTCACTACTTTATTTATTCAGTTGACACGATATATAGAAAGAACAAAAATGTGGACTACAAGGAAAACAATAAAATCATTCTTTCGTCATACAATAGATCGAGACGATACGGCATAATTGTAAGTCATGGTAGATAGATGTTTATTGTAGGCTAAATTAAATCACTGATTTATTTTTAAATAATATAAATAATCAGATTTTCAGCTATTTTTTTTTTGTAGATGGATATAAAACCATTTATGAGTATTGTTGTTGCTATGGATGAAAACAATACAATAGGACATAATGGAAAGATTCCCTGGGCACCATTACCAACCGATCATTATTGGTTTTTAACACATTCAACTACTACAAAAGATCCATTAAAACGTATTGCACTCATTTTAGGACGTAAGACATTCATAGATACTATTGCGTTCTTTAAAAAATATGTTCCTCGATGGCATTTTATTGTTCTTACTCAAGAATTACCAGGAATATTTTATGAAAAATATTCAAATATTAATCGAAATCAAACAGATGTTGTAAATACTATTGATCAAGCTGCTTATCGAGCAAAAGAATTAATTGAGACACCGGATTCTATGATTGAATCTGCATATCTATTTGGTGGCGTAATTCCATATGAACAAGCATTAGAAAGAGACTATGTCAAACGAATCTATTTAACAAGAATTTTTGCCAAAGTTCCTGATTGTGATACTCAAGTATCAAAATTTGATTTAAATAATTTTCAACGAATAAAACGACCAAAGGATGAATTACTTGCTGAATACGATGATAAAATAATCGAAGAAAATGGATGGACATATCAATTTCAAGTCTATGAGCGTAAAAATGTTTAAAAATTTTATGTATATTAATAAAAATATATTTGTTATCAGTTATTTTCATCTTAAAAATAAATCTATTATAATATATTTTGATTTCATATTTGAAACTAAGAAGGCATTAAACTAATTATGTATTTATCGTTTAATAATAAAATATGAAAAAATTTTGTCTGACAGATTTCTGTCAAATAGCACTTAGAATGAGAATTACATTAAATGTAATATTCAAAATCCTTTTCATGACAAAAATATATATATTGATATCTCTCGACATCTGATGACATACTATAAAATATGACATCATCGAATTCTTACTCATTCGATTAAATTCTATACAGATGATCGGACGGTGAACGTAAGCAGTAACTAATTCTTTTTTCTTTCTCTATCTCTATACATATGTTAGCGAAACAATAGTTTCTCTTATAAGAAAAGATCTGAATCATTCATCTTCAATCATATTGTTGAAAAACAATAAATCGTTTATTTTTTATAGTCAAAATGTCAAATAAATGCTATCGATGTTCTTCATGGTATTGTTAAGCTTGATTTATCATAATTTATATTATCTATTTTTCTTTTTAAGCTATAGAATCCAAGACAATAAGGTTTTATATTGAATTACAAAGAAAATAATAGGACAATAAATGGACTAAAATTGTCTTCTGATGGTCGATATTTAATTACTTCTTTGGATAATACAATTATTCGCGTAAGATAATAGCTACATTCAATAAAACTATTCATCGTAACGCACTAGCTTTAGCATAACTATCTTGAAATCTGGATTAGAAAATTTTAGATACAACTCATAGATTGTTGGACAAGGGGAGATTCATGTTCCCAAGAGTTTGTTTGTTTACTGTCTCAGAAGTCAACAGGTTCATAAATCTCCTTATCCGTCGAAAGCTCGTTTTTCATGAATTCTGAACACTTCCGACATACTCATTTCTGTGACATGCCAAGAACATTATTAATCTTTATCATAGTTCTGTTGAAAATACTGCGATACTCTGTTAGATATTATGGAAAACTGTCGCATACTTTTATAAACTATATTCGATTTGATTAAATTCGACTATCTCTATTAACAAGTTTAAATAAAAATAGAAAACATCCTTAATTGAATATTTCTAGGTACAATCCAATTGTTTGTCAAACATTAGAAAAATAGTTTCCAATTTTAAAAGAATAATCTATGGTATTGATGAAACTAAACCATGTGGCATCGATCTCTATCAGTAAAAACAGTAAGAAAAACAATCTTTTTTCTTTTATATTGATTTACTATTTAAGATATAATTTAGGCATGAAAAATTCCAAGCATGTCATCAAACATTATTCGATTATTAAATACTTGTGAACGCTTTTGAACAAATAGTTTTTTTTTATATGCAAATAAGAAATAATTTATTATGTTTTTCATGTTGTAATACATGATTATATTATTCCATTTTGTCTTGTTTTCTTTGTGTTGGACAAAATTTTATTTATTAATGTTTTATAGATGAAGTTCTGTGGTTGTTTAACTGTTGAAAAAGAATCACGAGATGAAAATTCAAAAAAGAAATATGTCAAACGATATTTTCTTAAACGTGGTATGTTTATATTTATTATTACATAATATAAAAACTTATTTGTAATAGATTTATCGTCGAATAATAATAATGGTTCGACAATGAGTATCAAGTAAGAATAGAAAAAAATTAGTTTTACAATATTACGTAAAATATTTTTGTTGTATTTAAGATCACAAAAAGAAAGAACTAAATCGAATACAAAGACGGAAATAGTATCAAATATAAAAAAACAGTAAGTAATTTAATTTTTATATTACGTGATCTTTTCGTTTTACTTATCGTATGTGATTAACAAGCTCAACAAAATAAATTATATCTCGAATCATAGATAACAGGAAAACCGAATTGGCTTATGAGTCCTAGAACCTGGCTAGTGAATCTTACTTGTCTCGCTGATCAAATTCTGATCACGTCATTTAATCAAACTACTAAACAAAGCTCATAAGATTAAGCTCGAATCTAACTCTCGCAAATTATATATTAGAAGCAATACAATCATAATCTGATTATTACAAAAATTACTCTTAAGATACTCTGAAAAGTTCGAATAGTACGATAACTATTAATATGAAAATGAAAAAAACTTCATTCAATATAATCATAGAGATCCGATTCGAAACGTCTCCGTGAAAACTTCATACAGTTCAAAAGAACAATTTTCCTCGTCTGTTATGCAAAAACCAGTGCTTAAGTAGAGCATTTTATGTGCGCTTACATTGTGCTACGATGAACCTATCTTCGTAATCTCCGATCAAAAACGAAACTATGGCGTCATTGCACAATTATCAAAAGAAAAGTAAATGTATGAGACAGATATATACAAAGAGTACATGAAATATTTTCCCCCAACGAGAAAATAGATAGTACAATCCTTGTGCTATGATCCCAAAAGATTTATTCACCTTTGATAAACTTCATTTAAACCGATATATATATCTTATTTATTAATTATAGTACTTCAACAAATCAATCATCATTAGAATCGATTGATAAAGTTGTTCGCTCTGATAATCGTCACGATACATCTAAACGACGATCAGTGTAAATCAATGATTATTTTTCCAATTTTATTATTCATTTATTTTATATATTTTAGTACATTTGCTAATGATAGTGAAACTGAACAACGTAAATTTCTTCGATTAAATCAAGTAAAACGTGGGTAAGATTACTATACATCAACTAGAAACATCTGTTTTTCCAATCTTGATTCTCATAGATCAATCGATGAATTACAATTTCATGAAAATAAACGTGCAAAGTAAATAGAAAAATAAACAAAAATAATAGATATAACATTATGTATGTATATTAGAAGTTCACCAAATGTAAATAATTTTGTAACAAAAATGAATACATCATATGAAACAACAACAGGTGATGAACTTGATACTTCCCAACAAAAGAAATCAGTTATACGTCGTCGAAAGTTAGTTAATTATCACATAATTGAAATTAATAAATTGAAATTTTCCTTTAAGACGAAGTAAATCTCCTCGAAAACAATTACCATCTGAACTTCTCGATGCAATCAAGTATTACCTATTATTTTTCATATAATTAAATCTTATTTTTTTTCCTCAATAGATTCGATCTAGTAGAATCTGGTGGTTTAGATGATAATCAACTAAAAATTATTCCCTATGAAAATATTAAGTAAAATAAATCAAATAAATTTTCATTTTTTGTATTTTTATTTATTTATAAAGAACATCATCTCAACCAATGCGAATTAGTATTTCATCATATTCATCTCGACAACAAACACGTCGACGACGCTGTTCCTCTCCATTCAATCGGTTTACAATTTGTTTCTTTATTCTTTCTTAATTTACTATTATTTCTTAATTCTAGTGCTGTTGTTCATAGTGCATCAACTCATGTGTTACATTATCCAGCTCAACCAAGTATTGTTTGTATTGCACAAGTTAAATCAACAGTAAGAAAATATTTCTTTTCCTATTGAAATTTTATTCTTTCTTTTTCCTATTTAGAAAGCCAGTAGTATAACTATAAAAACAGCAAATTGTATGTAGAAAAACTATCTTTTTGCTTTATCGTTTGAATTTATCTTCTATTTAGAATTAAAAAAAGAAATCATCCAATTGCTTTATTATGAAAAATTCTTGATTAGAGATCAATTAGAATTCTTTGTTGTTTTGCTCAGATATTCGTTGTGTACATGTTTATTTATTCTTTATTATGATAGTGTTTAATCTAAATTTTTCTTTTGTTTATTTATTAAATAAATTAAATTGTTTACTAGGATCTATGGGAAAGAATATGATAGATGTTTGATTGATTGATTGATTATTCAATTAGTTCTTCTTCTTCTTCTTCTTCTTTTTATCGAAAAAAATATTGGTCTTTGAAAGATTTGTTTATTATCGAATTCATATATTACAATCCAATAAAAAAGAAAAGACTTAAAAAGAAGAAGCTATATAGTGTAAACCTTATTATCTTATATTTATTGATAATACTACTATCTACGTGAAATGATCATCATCTTCTAGGCCTCGAACACAATTCAGATTTTTTAATTGAATTCTTGTTTCGATTATCATACTTATATAGTTATATTTTATTAAATCAACAAAAAAGCCGATTTATCTTCTTTTTCTTTCTACGGATATATATATAGATGACTTCAATCAGGAATAATTATCAAAGTATATCATTCATATATATTTCTTTTATGATCGTTCTAATAAACGGTGCATAGAAGAAACAAAGATACCGATGATAAAATCTTTGCATACAATCTTTTTTTCTCTGTCTCTCTGTCTGTATGTTCTTTTTCCAAACTTGATTTGAATAGAATTCCCAAAACAAATCAGTATCGCACCAATGACTGATCGAAGGTTTTTTTTATTAAATCATCTTTCCGAATATGTAGATATATAGATATAGATAGATATATTTTTCTTTAATCATTTAACACATTCGCTTGTCTTCTATGATTATCAATCATTGATGATTACACCCACTCTTTATTATAGTTTTAGTGTCATTAGACATTGTTTAAATGTTTCTCTTGTGTATTTTTATTAAAATTATCTCAAGTGACATGTATTGAGACAGTTGATCTGTGAGTAAATTATCAACAAATAATGAACAACAATGATAATATAATATTCTTGTTCTTCGATTAAATTAAAGAAGAGAATAAGTCTATGTTTTGAGGTACAAAAAGAAAGAAGACGAACAGTTGTCGTTTTTATTGAGTTCAGCATTGGTTCATATATATATATATATACAAACATAGAATTCTGTGATGAAGACAATAAAATGAGTAGACTAATACAATATGAGTGAATATGAATGATTGTTACGCACGTTAGTAGAATAGTAAAGAAGAACTATATTGTCATAAGAAAGGCATATTTCTTCTCATCGCTTTGCAGTACACACATTTGTATTTTATCTGGAATGCGACACACTTTTTATTAATTGAATTTATGTTACATTTTTTTGTCTATTCTTATTCTTCATTATATAATTAGATGATAACATGAGTAACTAATTATTTTTTAACGAACTATTTTTTACAATCGTCATCCATTTTTGTTTTAATGAATGGATTGGTGGTATTTTTTTATTAGTATTTATTTTGCCTCAGTAACGGCTGATATTGGTCAAGTTCATACACTTAATGTTCAACAAGATGAACGTGTTCGACTTGAATGTACATTAACATCAAAACAAGATGCTGAAGAAGTATTTTTTTTTTCAAAAAATCTTATTCTAATAAGTATCTATTTTACTTTGTATAGGCTATGTGGATGCGTATTCGGCCACCTTATAATCCTGATGTTTTAACTTATCGAGATAATGTTGTTTATGCACCAAATCGTATTGAACTTGAACAACATCGTCTTAGTTCAAGTATGACTACAAATGGAACATATGTTGATACCTATTTTTTAACATTAACGATTTTACATCCAACTATTGATGATGAAGGAAGATATATTTGTTCAAAACATCGAACTATATTTGCTGAATATGATCTTTTTATAATTAGTAAATAAGACGAATAATTATTTAGAATAAATTTTGTTTTTTTTTGCTTTAAAAAATATTTAGTACCACCACAATTTACAGATGATCAAAATTTTATTCAACAACGAAGTATTATTGAAGGTTCAAATCTTCAACTTTCTTGTTCAGCTCATGGTCGACCTCAACCTTCAATTACATGGTTCTATCGAACAAATAATGATAAACATATTGTATGTAAGTAAAATAAACACTAGAGAAAATTAAAAGTTAGAAAAAATTACGTTTATTTCCAATTCTTATTTTAGTAGGTGATGGTGCAGATTGTTTAGATAAAACTTGTGAAATGAATTGGATTAATTTTACAAGAGATAATCCAACATTAATCGAATGTATTGCTGATAATAAAAAATCTTCTCGAATATCAAAAGTATTTAATATCGATGTACTTTGTAAGTTAAATAATAGTTTATTCTACTTCGCTCGAAAAAGTAAAAATAAATGTGTACTTTATGACCTTTCTATCATTTACTATAGAAAGAAGATAATATCATAAACCGATTATCATTTGAAACAATAGTAAATAAAGATCTATGTAATTTTATCAAATAAAGGTCAATGATTGTTGATTATGTATGATCATGTAACAGTGGCGGATCTAGGATTTTGAAAGGGGCGGGGGGCGACGGGCGTGATCGCCCCCCCCCCTAAGTCCGTTACTGTCATGTAATAAGAAGTATGCTGTACTACTCGTTTCCCACACTGACAATCATCCGAATCCTTATTTTTACTTTTCGATCGAAGTAGAATTTACCGTTTTTCTTTTCGTTAGAATTAATAAATTTTGATTATAATTAATAGATCCTCCTACGATAAAAACAAATGTTCGAACATTAATAGGTTCAAAAAATATTGAAGTTTTTATTGAGTGTTTATCCATTGCTAATCCACCACCTTCAATTATTTGGTTTGATGATAATCGACAAGAAATCGCTGATCATCGATTATATACTATTAAATATGAAAATCAATCATCGATATTATCATTTTTAATATCTTTAGCAGAAAATTCTAAAGTAAATTATTATTGTCAAAGTAATAATTCAATTGGAATCATAGAGAAATTAATAAATATTTCCGGTAAATAGAGAAATTCTTGTTTTTCTATTCAAAATTTTCTTTTAGATTTTATTCAATTTGAATCGAAATCAACGACAATACGATTACCCACTGCATCTCTATCCAATAAATCGAAATCTAGTAAATAATTTGATATTCATAATTTTTCTATCTTATTGTTCCTTTTTTTTTATGAATAGTCAAATCTAATCGTACTCGATCTAGAACAACAACAACAACTGTATTAACAACTACAATAGCATCATTGAATAATTCAATATCTTGTTATCCAAATATTCTTTTTTTGTTTATTTTTATTATTTGTAATTTTTTGAAAAATACACTTTATTGCACTGTTTAGCATTGACTGTAAATATTTTTAAACTAATGAATAATGTTGATGTCTAGATGATTCCGTAGTTGTTTCATCATATGTAACATAGAGAGGATCATTTTGATTTGTTAATACCGAATGATCAAATGTGAAATTATGTAAATGATAACGTGGACTTTGAGTATCAGATGAATGTACACCGGAATCAGCTGATGATGAACTTTGATCATTATGAGAAGATTTTTTTGTTTTAGGTTTTGATGATGATGATGATGAAACATAGGTAAACGCAGAAAATAGTTCTGTATGTGATGGCGATATTGTATAATGAACATTTGGTAATAAAGATTTATCAGGTATTTGTATAAGTGGATTTCGTTTTAATAGATCTTGATCATTGGATAATGAATTTTCAAGAATAATTGGACGAAAATACCGTTCAGTATGTGTACTTGATGGACAAGTATCTATATAAAAAAATAGAGATAAATTTAGAATAAGTACTACAATAAAATATCCTATTTGATAGCATGGGGAACAATCTCTTATTTAATTACCATGTATTTATTTTTCGTTCGTATTCTGCACGTTGTTACCTGTAAGAGATATTCATCTTATAACTCTTTTTAGATCTCGATAAAGGCTTATAGAGAAAACATAAGAAAGTCTGCTGGAAATTACTTATAATAATTAATATCATGTAAAGATAATATCATTACAGATCATCAAGTCCAGAACCTACGAAGGTTCTTTTATTGTTTATAAGTTGTATAGATATAGTAGATCTAACTTTTTAAATGTAAACATCATACCTGTAGTATTTAATTGATTTTGTTGATGTTTAGTTTCACTATAAATTGATTCATGATTAGTTTCATCTTTACAATTCATTGCATAGCCAGTAACTGCATATGGATTTATATTACCTTGAGAATCTTCTACAGAAATAAAGGATTTAACGAAAAAGAAATTTTTATTTAATTGAAATTACCTGATACAAAACTATTAGAACGACTTCTATCTACATAATTCTCTATAGTAAAATCTTTATCTGTTTTTGACCAAGTCTTACGAAAATTAGTTGAATTGGAAGTACATAAAACAGGTTTTAGCTTTCGTTTTTGATTAATAAATAAATCTACATATTCAATAGAAAATCATAATGAATTATTATTTCTATATTTTACCTGTTTTTCTTAAATTTCGCCGAGAAAATTTTACAATAAATGAAATTAAAATAATTACTAATAATAAACAAATAATAAGTATAAAAAATTGTTCCATTCTTGATTTTATTGAAGTTTTTTCATTTGTTGTTCGAAATGAAATTATCTCCATATTTTCTCCAGCTTGACTATTTACTTTAATGTTTAACTGATAATCTTCATTGGATTGAAGATTATCAATTTTTAATTCATTGAGATCATTTTTATATGAAAAATATCGACTAAGATTAGTTTTACTGGTTAATAATTCTATTTCATATGATAAAATAGAACATTCATTAATAATCCAATTTGCCATATTAAGTATAATATAATTATTTGAAACAGTTTGAACTAGATCTGATGATTCAATTAACGTTGGAACTAAAAAATTTGAATTATTATTAAAAAAGACATTTTATTAATCTTATACCTGAACCGTCTGTTCTTGCTATTAAATAATCTGTTAAACTAAATCCAGCTTGGTTGCTACCGTAAATCATTATTTCATAAAAACTTCCACAAGATAAATTAGTTAAACGAACATTTAATAATGGTGGAAATATATTTAATTCATTAATTAATAAAGTATCTTGAATTTTATATGATATTGTTATGCTTTCGATTATTTCTGATGGATAGGAAATCTTTAAACCAATTTCATTTGATAGTGTATAATGAAGTGTTGCTCGAACAAATGAGGGTTTATCTAGAATAATTTCGAAATTATGAATGTACAAAAAAAATATTTGGTGTACTATAATATCGAATATTGTATAGTTTTGATCCACATTTATATTGACTTTCTGTTTTGGATAATAGTGGATGTGAAATCGAAATCGAATTGTTAGTTGATAGCGAACAGTCAATTCCGAGTGGTTTATTAATTGGATGTATGATTGTTATGGCATCAGAACCTTTGATAAAAAAAATTGTTTATATTTTTTACGCAGAATAAAATTCTATAAATCTCGATTTCAGATATGATCTATTCACATACTTGATGATGGTGTATTAATATCAGTTGCTAATGATGATGAACCACAGTCAAGAAAATTACAAATTGCTACTGATATATGATATTGCGATGATGAATTTAGATTATCAAAAAAATATTCCGTGCTAGTTGTTTCAATTGTTCTTAATGTTGACATGTCTGAAAAGACAAAAAAATTAATTTCTTTTGGAAAATCTTTTCTTTAATATCTTACTAAAATTTTCATATATTGTTATAGCAAATGTTCGAAATTTTCCATTCAAATATTGAAAATCATCTTGTTCAAACATCCATGTTATATATGCAGTTGAACTATTTAATAAACTTCCTGTTAAATCTCTAATTATAGCAAGCGGTACTAAAATACCAAAAACAATTATTATAATTAATCGTTCGTTTTTCGAAAAGGGAAATAATTTACCGCTTTCTAATGTTTGTATTTTCAGTGGATCTGATATTGGACTTGGTCCTAAATCATTTATTGCATAGACCATAAATGTATAATAAGTAAAACTTTTTAATTGATGAATAGTAATCGTCGTTGAATGATAACTATGAGTTTGAATATGAGTTTGATTGTATTGATCAGTGACTTCAATAATAAATTCAATATATGAATCATTACATATATGAAATGATGGATACTAAAAATCAAAAAATCTTTTTAATCATCATCGTTCAACTAGAGACGAAAGATTACATACTTGCCATGTTAACACAGCACTCTTCGAAGAAATATTAACAGCTTTGAGATCATACGGAGCAATATGTAGCCCTAAATTAAAATAATTACAAATAATCAAATGTCCGAATAAATTATTTACGTTTAATATTTGTTTGAAAATAAAATGGTTGACTAGGTAATGACGAACCAATCTTATTCACTGCTTGTATTATTACCGAAATACTACATATGGAATAAATATTTTCAAATGAATAAGTAGTTATATCATCATTATTAATCGTTACAATTGTTTCATTTGACCATAATAAATCTAAATTTATATTAAAAAACAAAAAATGATAAAAAAATAAAAAAATATTCAATCTATACCTTGTTTATATTGAATTCTAAGTATATAATTTGTAATTTTTGAATTTCCATCGAATGGCTTCATCCATGAAATTCTTTCCGAGTTATCGAAAGCTATTTGTTCGATTTTATCTGGTATATTTTGTACAATTATTTTAAATATTGATCGATCTTCTGAATAATTATTTTTAACATAACATTCATATAAACCACTATCAGACATTTGAATATTATTAATAATTATCGATAAATTCTTCTTATTTTCATATGTAGTTACAATTGTATTTAATTTTTTTGGTGAAGGATTTATTAGTTTTAATTCCAATTCATTATCACCTTCAGCATAACAAAAAATATTTAAATATTCATTTATTTTTATAGTTAAATTCGTTGTTATTGATAATATTTTAGCAGGTATTTGAACTGTTGTAAATATTTCCAGGAACGTTTGTCCATATGAATTTATTGCTTGACATACATAGATATTTGAATTTGTATTTATTGCTGTAAATAATATAGGAGATATTGTTGATGTATTAATTATTTGATTATGTGTTTTATCAATCCATTGTAGATATAAATTTGGTTGACCTGATGCATAACAAGGCACAGTAAATTGTTGACCAGTTCGAACAGTTAAATTTGTTAATGGTTGAATAAAAGGTTTTTGTTTATTAATATTAATATGTTTTGTTAATGAAATTGAACCGAAAGAATTTTTCGCACGACATTCATAAAGACCTGTATCACTTATATTTGATATATATATTGGATAATGAAGAAAAATATCACCAGATGATAAATATTCAATTGAATTATTAATTAATAATTTTTGTCCATCTTTAAAAAGATTTATTTCTGGTATTGGATCACCATAAACAGTACAATTAAGATCAATTGGTAGACGAGATTTATTTTCGGATAAAATAATAATACTATTTGATTGTGTTTGTTGATCAAGAAAAATAAATGGAGGTGAATCTAAATTAATCTATTAATCAATTATTTAGTTCTTTTTTTGAAATGACTTACTAATAATTCGAATTTGAGTTTGAGCACAACAACTATTTAAATCTAATGAATTTGATATAAAACAACATTGATACATTCCCATATGTTCTCGTGTTACATTAGAAATCACATATTGATCTAATTTACTTGATAATAGAACAGAATTATGATACCATTGCCATTGAACAGATGTATTCTTTATTGAATTAATTGTGCAAATGAATTCTATAGTTGATCCTGCATTAATATTTCTTTCAGAGAAATTCATATGACATTGAGTTGGAACTAAGTTAATGAAAATAGTCTTATAAACAATTATAAGTATTAAACAAGTTACCATTAACTTTAAGTGAAATCATTGACGTCATTCTTCCGATTGATTCATCATCTACATGACAAATATAATTACCTGACTCATTTGATAATGGTATTGAAAGTTGAATTATTAAAGAATTATTATAGATATTTTGTTTGCGATTAGAAATTTCAATACCATCTTTCCACCAAGAAATATGAGCATTTGGAGATAATGATGATATACCACAAGGTAATTCAATTATATCACCAATTCGTGCTTGATATTCTGTATTATTTGGAATAGATAATTCCGGTCCAAATGGTGAACGATCTATACATATTTATATTTACGTGTGTTTATGTATATCTTTCATTTTACCTCGAATACGTAATGATTTAAATCGACTTTGTCTTGTATTATTATCTATTTGATTATTAACAAGACAAGCATAACTTCGATTATCATCTGATTTTGTTAAATTATGAATAATTAAATTTTTATTTGATAATAAATTATATTTTGTTTTTGGTTCTAAATAAAATCAGAAAATTTCATCTATATTCTATATTTCTTTATAAACTTACTTAAATCAAGATGAAAAATATCATTATTTATTTTTTCTAACCAACCAATAATATGTACATAGAGATTAGCTAATGGTGGAGATATTTCACATGATATTATAGCTGATGATTGTTCAAATCCATATGGATTTTTAACTTCAATTTCATATGCATCATAAATTTCTATAAAAAATTGAAATAATTACTGGCAACATGTATACTACTAATCTTATGTTTTTCTTTCTCAGCACATAAAAAATGTTTTTATCAAATAACACTAATGCATAGAGTCTATCACAGTTGAAGAATTTACACAAGTGATAATCATATAAACATATGCTCGTTCATTAGTATTTGTCAAGATGTTATTTTTCTTCACATACTTGCGTTCATCTTAATTTCCGCTGAGTGATGAAAAGAAGATAATCTACTCTAGAACAATTTATTAGCCGTATGTGTCAGTCTAGGCTTACAAATAGCTTCTCTATTAGGATCAGACATATGATTGTCTCCATGATATAAATACTAAACTCGATCAAATTACAATGAAATTGAAGAATATTTGTACATGTTTTTTTTTGTCTTACGTGGTTTAACTTGAATTGGTATTGTTTGTATACTACCAGCTGAATTTTCTGCACGACAAATGTATGATGTAGAATGAATTGTTTTAAAATATTCTCGAAATGGTCGAATAAATAAACTTCCATTTTCATAAAGATCACTAAAATAATATTAGAAGAATCGTTAACTGTATTTCTGCGAGAGAAAATATCTTACATAAGATCAGAAGATTGAATAGATATCAATTGATGAGTATCACTACTATTCGTTCGAAACCAAGTTAATTTAGGTAATGGATTACCAGTTGCTAAACAATCAAGTCTTGTACCTAAGTTACTGTAATAAAGCTTCTGTTTTGTTACTATTGTCGAAATAAAAGTTGGTCCAATCGGATGTTGATGAGTCACAACACCTAGAAAAAAAAATTCTGATTTTAAATTTCATTCTCACGCAGTTAATCCATTGGGAAATTCTAATTTATAACATATGTGATGAATAATGTTAGGTCATCAATAGAAAAAAAGTGATGCATTCGAGCATAACATAGAACTCATTTGAATTATGTTTTAGTTCATATAACCTTGTTATATTCTATTATATTAATCAATTTATGCAGTAAATTACAGCTGCTCTGTTAATAATACAATCTGTTGAATCCATATATATATTCTCATAAAACAAAAAAAATGATAGATTAATATTCTTACCTTGTTGATAAATGATCAGAGTAATTAATAAACTATGGATCATTGATATTGTCATTTTCAATCATAAAAAATCAGCACTATTATATTAAGAAGTAATACCATAAGATTTGATTAACAGTAAATTATAAACTAGAACTGAAATAAATATGAACATTACTTATGATGTTAAAATAACAAGAGAAGAGTATGATAGTATTAGTGGTCGTCTGACAGCATATTGATTGTCCTTCTTACGTGCTCTCTTTCTCTCTTTTCTTCTTTGTGTCTG